TTGTGATACACGACGAATTCTGTACTTTAACGAAGATTAACACTTCTATTTCCAAATTATTTATATATTATCACAGAAATATTTTGTCACTTTTATCACAGTTGTATAGAATAATTCCCATTATACTGTTATTGTACATAATAAAACCCAATTTTTTTTTACATCTGTTCAATAAACACTCTTGAAATATTTGAAAGAAATTAATGTTTTGTAAGTTTGTATTGCGTTTGTGACAATTTAATGTTCAACCCTTGAATTTCATGAAATGAAAGAGGAAAAGGACCAATAATGTCTCATTTTACTTAGCTTTTAAATACACATTCAAATTCGTACCATACCATCTATACAAGGCTGGAAGAAATTGTTATACATATACTCACAGACATGAAAAAACACATGATACTAATATTTTATTTCGTAATTTACAATACCTAGCCATATGACAACAGTGGGAACGAAAGGGTTAACAGCTTTCTCGTTTTATTTTTGGTATATATGAAAACTGACTGAATCCACGGATTCTATTAGTCTGTGCTTAACAAAACAATTCATGAAAATAGGAATTCGCATAAAGATCTACAATTGAGTAGTCACTTATTAGTGTAATCGAGTCGGTTTCAGACGACCGTCCTCGATGAGTACCTGCCGATTACGCAACACTCAAGACGTAGAAACGCTTTTCCACCGTTGAACACCTGAGTGGAAAATGCTCGAGGCATAGAAACGTTTTTCCATCGTTGAACACCCAAATGAAAAACGCTACAGACGTGGAAACGCTTTTCCATCGTTGAACATCCGAATGGAAAAAGCTAGGACGTGGAAACCATTTTCACATTAGAATGAAAAACGCTTCCTGTTCCCCAGACTAACGAATGCAAATAGAGCTAGGCAGGGTGATGTGTATCCTTTTAATTAATTCCGTAACGCGAGAATAATTGACGCAGCTCGCGGATGAACGCGAGATGCTTTGGCCGCGATGAAACGTCGCGTCGCGCTTTAAACGGTCGTCGAGAAACGGGCGGGAGACACCGTTAAGGTGTTTGTCAAAGACAAACCTCAGACTTCAAAGGTAGATGTTCCATCCCAGTGGACACCGTCCGGTGTACATTCAACACCGTGCGATCCGTGGCTCGTTCAAAACCGCACGGGACGAACCTGACACCCTTTGCCTTCAACTTGAACCGTGGTTGGATACGAAAGCTTTGAGGGTGTCAAAGGCCCTTGAACTGAATTATTTTTTAATAGATCTATGTGAATTGTCCACCCTTTCTCGATTAAGATATTTCTATACGTGTTGCATTTCAAAATTATTAAACCATCTAAAGCTTCCACATAAATAAAACTAAAATTAACAAAATAGGTTGGGTATTCGACTTCAAACTAACAAGATACAACATGTATATCAGTCTCATAATTTTGAAATAACGATTTAAGGGTCTGGTCGTTAAAGGGTTAATGGAGGAAACATTAGGAGCCCTCGGTTGACGATGGTTTGGTAGCGCTATTGCCTTCACAGTATTTATTAACCCATTAAGGAGGAATGTTCCATTAACGCAACATTTCATTTGCAATGTTTTTCACACAATTTAAATAATCGAATTGTGTTTTCAACATTGTTGTATAGGAATTCTAGGGATTTGGTTAACAATTTATTTCGTCAATATTTCTTCTTCCACATAGGTACATAACTTTCTAAAGAATAAAAACCTCATGTGTAAAAATCTTAGTGATTCATTGCTTGGTCTTTAATGGGTTAACATTATTTATAAACTTCATACGCTTAACTATAAATTACGTAACTGGAAGATTGCAGTTCCAATTGATTTATAATAAACGAACGAAAAGTTTCCACAGGACCGTTCTATGTAATATAATACCCAACTCTGACTCGTCCAAGATATTGCTTGCATCAGGAATTTGAGAATCGAAAAATCGATCGAAAAGTACAATTGAATACAATAGAATACCTAGAACTGGCGTCTGGGCGTGATAAAAGCGCGGTAAAACCTTGGTGACGAAAAAAATCCATCGTTGCGCGTTTTATGTCGGCGGGAATACAGTGGCCGGTCATTAGGCCCAATCATAAACGTCACAGCGCACTGGAGGCGAGGCGCGCAACAGTTGGTGAACGCTTTCGAGCGTGGCGAAGACGTTGAACATGACGGAAGGACGTGCAGAAGGCCGGGCACGTTGGACGATTACCTTAGATCGGATAAACCGGCTCTTTACCGGCTGATTTCCGTCTTGGGAACGTTCGAACAACATCGGGGGGCTCTTCTTTTAGCGGTACCGGAAACAGGGGCTGTTAGAATGAAACAGAGTGACTGTCTAAAATCGACTAACACGATAATAATCATGTTTCGGAAGTCTATAAACGTAACCACAGGATCTAGGAACGTGATGGTAGAAACGATAATTGGTACCAGACACGTAAAAAAAAAAACTGAGAAGAAAAGATCGACGTAGATTTATTCCGTTTTGAAAAAAGGAATTACTACTGGGGATGTTATAGCATAGAGAGCTGCTGCTATCACAGGAGTTATATAGGGACAAAACGATACCGTCGACTAACATCTACTTAGTATCGCATAAAAAATATCGATACCTACTTGTATCGAAAAAGAAGGAATACAATGTTCTTTTTGATACGAGTACTTTTTTTCGGTACCGAGTGTATATTGCAACAGACAGTATCGATACTAAAAATAATCGGTATCGAAACGAAAGTATCGATTATTTACTTGTATTTTCTAGGATCGTTTCACCCTTAGTGGTATACATTTATTCGTTTCACGTGGTCTGACTGGTAGCTTGTACGGTTTGATTAATCGGGTGCAAAGTTAAACGAGCATCGTGTCGGAAAGCCAAGGAATGCTCACGACGTGGCCGCGACCAGCGATGGCAAGAACAGAGAGAGTGAGAAAAAAAAAAACGAACCTATCGTAAAATTGATGCATTCAGGCTGAGAGAGGCGATAGTCGCGGAAAACATTGGACCGTCTCTCTGCAGTCTTCGTTATCGGGAAGGGGGACTATACTCATCATTCGTGATAGATTCTGTTGTTCGCGGGGAAACAGTTAGCAGGCGTTCACGTTTTTGTCGTGTTAACGTGAAATTCCAACTATTACACAGCGAAATAGGAATTTATCCCTCCGACACCACATTAAATAACATTTTATCTGGCTAGCATGACGGTTTCCTTACATTATGATAAAAAATTAATTATAGAATGATAGATATTATTATAGAATTTCGAAGGAAATTTTATCCTAAATAATATGTTGCGAGTCCAATTTACTTTTATTATCTTAGAGTTCTTAATCGTCAAACAATTCAAAACACGAATTATTGAGGCGATTTACGGAGGGTAAATTCAGGAAAGACGTCATACTTGTAATATTTTAAATTAGATTTTCAAATTGCAGCCACTTTTAAAATTGTTAACATTTCAAGCTAAGTCCGGCACCTAATTTAAGAATCTTTGTAGATATTTTTATTTCAAATAAACAGAACAACCAAAATTATGGTAACCAATCGAGCAATTTTTTTCGAGGTAGTCGTCTTTCATGGGCTGCAGCGCCATCTTTATTTCATATTTTTAACTAAACAAAGTTTTTATTTATAGTTTAAGATAAAAAAGTACTTCGTGGGTTTTAATCGTTTACCCGTGGAAATTCCAATTTTCATGATAAAATAATACTTCTTCTTGAATGTATCGACATATGGCAAACAATTATTTAATCTCACTAACTGTTTACAACGATGACTCCCTTAGATACTGCTGCGTTTCACTATGTATTATTCGAATAAAATTATGCCCAACTCTTGTCGTTACTAGTGAACGTATATTCACCAGCGTGTACGGTGTACAGAGAGAAAAAAAAATGTGCTTCGAACGACGGTTACGGTACGCGTGATGCGCCAAGGGGCCGCAGAAAATAAATTGAATCGCTTGCCAAGCTTTAAAAGATAGTAAATTGTTTCATCCGGTTCAATTGACACCCCCCACCGGTGTGTGTGTGTGTGGGTACTACCTAGCCTGTCGCGAATGAATCGCCGAATAATCTGCTGCGAGTTTTTTTTCTGGGTATTATCGTGAACGGGATAAACACGCGGTCGTTATACCATTTGCACCTGTACGTTACACACGGCTTCCGGTACACAGGTGCCTCCGCGTCCGGCTTTTAATGGAAACGAAACGGCGAATCGTTAAAACCGTGAACAGGGAGGTGAACGAGCGAGAAGTCGGGCTAGAAGGTGGAGATAGGATAGGGTTAGGTACCGAACAATTCGCTGAACGATAACTAGGGTGTGAAACGAACCGTGGGGCTGCATGGGAATTTTCGGGAGTCGGCCAGTTTCTATGCACATTCAATTATTCGTTCATGTTTATTCAAGAAGTTTCGACTGTCAGCTGTCCCCTCATGAATTTAAATACTATAGACGCGACTGTCCCGTATGATAGATCGAAATCCACGAACAGCGAGGAAATATTGCGCGTGATTCCTTGCGAATTTTTGTCGCTGTTGAAATAAATTATACTGTAGCTAACTATTTTCCATAGGATGCAAAACTAAGGTTGCTATACATACCCACGGTGCACAATGGTCTAGAACCGAGATTTAGCAGCTCAAGTGGACGAAAAGGAAGTTCTTTCATCTTTCAGGAAGCTTGCATCAATTTGTTTGGTGCATTTTCTTATTAAACCGTTTTGTGCCATCAATTTCCACAAAAAAAAATATAGAAAACGAAAAACCCTGAAAATTCAGACATTCATAAAGATATTGCGAACGGTGTTAGTGAATGATATTATCAAAGGGGATCCCTAAAATTACGATTAAAAGTAAAACTTAAAATTCTATTTAAAGAAAAATTACAAGTTTCAAAATATTTGATTGCTTGAATCCTGTGAACTGCTAAATTTTAATTCTGATATATGGTTCTTATCTTAACAAGGGTTTGGCCACCACTAATATACACTCTTGTTCTATCTGTTACAGAATCGAACAGACGACTCGAGCTCGGAAGTGGGATGCGGTGTGCGATGCAAGATCGATCAGGTAAGGCACCGCGAGGATCTATTAACCCTTTGCGGTCCTATGATGAGACTGCTCGACATTTACTTTTAGTGCAATCATTATGTACTCAAGTAGTCTCTGTTATATTTCGTAAAATTCTCCCTACATCGTGCTTAAATCCTATCTCAATATTTTTGAAATTTTGTGGATATGCAGTAAATAATCGATGATAAACTCACTGTCAGTGCCTTCGAACACTCATCGAGGATTTACTGTATTATCGAATCAACGTATTAAAATGTAATTAAACTGCATGACATTTATGCAAGGCTCAAAGAACGCACCAAGAATACTTTGGACCGCAATGGGTTACCCAGTCTCAGTCTTTGCTAATAAGGAATATGGACACTTAACAATTCTATAACACATGTGATCTAAACCTAAAAGCTCTCCGTTCAAGAAAGGACCACGCTACCTAATTTAAAAAATTCTTTATACTCCACCATACGGTTTTCCGGATCTACTGTCAATTTGCACAAATTACGAATATATTTATTGTCGAAGTAGAAGGATACTTCGTCTAGCTTCGGAACGTTTCAACCATTAACAAGAAGAGACATCCGGGGGCCGGGTGACTTAGGACGAGGATAATTCTCGGAGCCGGGTTGCAGCGCGAATTTAAAGCAAAACGTTCCGTCGGGGAGCAGCATCGTCGAACGTTTATTAACGTACGCGAACGTCGGAGACGAAAATAAAGGGATGCCGGTCCCCTGGCACAATGAAAGTACTTCCGCTGCCGTCCCCCCCCCCCGGGGGGGGGCTGTTCACTGGCTCGCTAGTAGAGTCGGTAAACGGCAAATAAAAACAAAGTCAGGTCCTCTGTCTCCCTTTTTTTTTATCTCACTCTCTCTCTCTCTCTAGCTTTCTCTCTATTGGGGCGTATGTCCGTAGGTACACCCAATGAATGGATGAACGTGTATACGTATTACGCGTACGAATGAAAGAATGGCCAGGCTCGTACGGCTTCGTGACTTTAAATTGGATCGCGTACAAGTGCGGCCTATGGCGGATGTCGCCAAATTGCCGTGTGACTCCGGATTCGCTCTCTCCAGTTTGCCTCTACACACACTCTCTTTCTCGTTATCTCTGTCTCTGTCTCGCCTTTGGCTCCGTTCCGGAAGTCCGGACGAAAAACCGGGGAAATCGTCCGGTTCACAGGCTCCCACCGTTTCTGCGACCACGTGTACCGTGTGTATACTCGGGGCTCTTGATACCCGGGTACTCGATTAACCTGGTTTCGCGGTTACCCGGGTTCTCGCGGGTAGTATGGTTACGGGTAGGGTTGAATCGATACCGCCCAGGTATCGATAATTTTACTTATTGCTAGTATTGTTGAAGGTTCGATACTTACTTGTATCGAATTATATTTCCCTGACCTTGATACCCGACACAAAAGTTGTTGATACCTTGACAGAAAATAAAATACAATACTATACTTTATATAGTTATTTAATTCATTTAATTCATTTCAGGTTGTAATTCATCCCGTTTTTCTATCTCTAATAGTTTCCGCGATATTCGACTGTATACAGTTCCCACCCCTAACTTGGAGGGCTGTTTTCACCTCTTTAACGTGGATAAGAGCAGCTAAACAAATACGTGTCAAATGTTTTTATGAGAACTACAATCTCACAGAGTTGCAACAAAATCGGCGATTGTTATTATGTAAATTATTTCAGCATGCAACAAAAAATAGAAATTACAAATATTGTGTTTCATAAAGTATTGTGTAACAAAAATGTAATATAAAAAAGGCCCAAAATATTTCCACTTGAATAAGTAGGTGAAACATATGTTATCAAACTGTTTTACTCTACTGTTAAATAAAATTAACGCAATTGAATGCGTTAAACGGTGAATTGTTTTTCGTCGATTACCCGTGTCATACAAGTATCGGGTATCCATAACCGTCTTATCAGTAGTGAGGATTATATCCGAATACTCAATGCCGAGGAGTCTTCGAACACTCATCGAGAATTCCCTGTATTATTCGAATAAAATTGTACTCAACTCTTCTTGTTCCATTTTCTGTTATCCAATTCCACGGTGCTTTTAATCAGGAAGCAATTGACACGACCGTTTAAAATCCAGTTAAACGTGAAAAGTAGCCGTTTAACAAAACAAAACTCCCGTAGAGTCGTCGGATCGACAGAGGAAGGCAATTAGGGTTGCCGATTAGCAAAAAGTGGAGCATCTTCCTCTTAAATCGTGTCGCCTCGCCGGCTAACCGTTACTCGTGCGCGTTACTGGAACGTACGAACCGTGAAACGAGGCGAGGGAGGAAATCGTTTTCAGCGCGATTCACGTTTATACGTATGTATGTCTACCGAGCGGTATTTCGAGGCTTTTCATCGGGGCACGCAACCGTAGAATCGTACGCTCGGCGATCGCGAACGTAAAAACAAACGGATCCGCGTGCCTGGACAGGCGAAAGGGTCGCGACTAATGGCCACGATCACTTCTTTATTTTTTTTTTTTCGGTGACACGCGGTAATTAAGGTGGCTCGGAAGGGCTTTTGTACTTTTTTCGTGGTATTAATTGCGGGTCTCGTTTCCTATCCTGGAGACACGCGTTGCTGGATATCCTTCCGGCCGCTGTAGGGGTCCTATCTCCGCTTCGTCTCGTCTCCTTCCTTTCTTCCATTCTCTCGTCAGACGACCTCTGTGGATCCCTGCCATTAGCGTTCACTAAACTACTCCGATGATTATTGGGATAATTTGTTTCTTCGAGTAGTGACATTGAATTACCAATTGGCTTTTAAAAATCAGTTCATAGAACGTTGCACGTGAGGCATTTTATGCGAGAGAAAATATTTACAGAAATACGAAAGCTAGGAACTTGTTCGTTAGGTAATTTCTAATAATGTGCAAGGCTCGTGCACGATTAACCTTTTAACGGTGGAATGTTACTGGGGTAATGTTTCCTTTGTTCTAATAAAAGGAATATATATTTTTAAATTTCTACTCGAAATTAAAGTTTTTGTCGGAACATAATCGTGACATCCGTGGTAATTATATAGAACTCCTAATTACGAATTATATAGTACCGTCATCTATTGTATTAATATATACAATCACTCACTTTTGATAGATTACATAAACGAAACCCTCGAGTTCTAACATTTTTATAGTAAAAGGTGTTTCATTTTTTCACACGACGAGTATACTCGTCATTACCCAAAAAGTGGCAATTTCCTCGTGACGAGTATCTATTCTCGCCGAACATCATTAAAGGGTTAAACTCACAGTTCAGGAATTGCCAAACCGTATGTTCGAAATATGATCGGTCGAGCGTACATATTAAAATACAAATTTCAATACAACGTACCGTCGTGGTAGACGGTCTATATTAATTTTCATCGTTGGTAGCTTCATCCGCGCCGCGTTCATACGAGCGTGTCTCAGCTTTGACGGTACTTCCGCTAATTTCATGGCTCGATAGCGATGAACCGATACCTCTGGAATTTCTTTTGTACGAAATATCACGTGTCCACGTAGCAGTCGAGCGGTCGCACGATAGGAAATCATGCAACGGGGCGCCCCGGTTCACGATAGAGCGATACATTTCAGTGGGAGGAATGTCGCAAACGAAAGTATCTCAAGTGCAATGGTAGACGTTAGTTCGCCATGGTTCTGGTGAAAGTCTGCCAGACTGACTCCAGATCATCGAGTGTATTTTGTAAAGTGGCAGACCACCGACGCCGAACGTATCCCTGACAAATGTCGCTACTTGACATTAGCTACCAGAAGCTGGATCGCTCGTTTTTGTGAACGAAAAAAAGTTCAAGACCCATCGTACTCCCATGTATTTACCAATAAATGAGATTTCTTATGCTGGATGCATCGTGGGGACCCTCGGAAACCGGATAATTAATGAAGATCATTCAAACGGTCATGGTTGTGTCCCTTCGAGTCGTTCCATCATTCGTGTCTTATGCCTCGAGCCGAGCTGGAGGACCGCAATCAGTGAACGGGGTTAAAGCGAAACGAGGAGAGAACGGATAGATCCTCATCCGTGGTAGGATGAAGATCTACGATCTACGGGGAGTTGAGTAGAGCGAGGGCCTGGCTGGGGCGTAATGTGTGTTGAGGTTTTAATGAGGAAGTGAGAAATTAGCGGGCGCAGCGTCGAACAGCCGCCACTGGCTCCAGCCCGTTTTCCACAGCTGATAGTTTCGTCAACCCTCTTTTTACGGGGCTCGATCGTTCGAAATGAGTAAAAAAAAACACAAAAAGGAACTCTGTCGTTTAACGTAACGAGTCGAACCTATTCCAATGGATGCACGACGTTTCAACCGATGGAATCGAAGCTGTGAACGCACTAGTGTCGAGGGACTAATTGAAACGGAGGATTCAGCTTGATAGGGGTGAATTGATAAAATGTCAGGAGGTAAATAATTAATTGAGACGTTGAAAAATTATCGACCCTCGCGTTAGAGCCGTTTTAACTGTCGTGGCGTTACGTAGATAACAGTTCTGTTTCGATGATAATCCACTTAAAGGTTTCTCGGTTTTCCTTTATTCTCTTTTTCTTTTAATTGATACGGTAGATAATATTTTTAGAGCAAGCACGGTCAAATTCCGCTATATTCGAAGTGAACGTTCGCGATTCGTTCCGTGTTCGATAAAGTTGATTCGGGCGTTTCTATTTTACGACGTAAATGTTTCGTTAATAATTGTCGCTTCGACGTCGCTCGTATGTAACGAGCCTTCGAAGAGTCGTCGTAAAACTGAACTGCCACAAAATGTTTATTAATAACGTTTATCTAGCGCTGGAGGTCCCTTTCCTTCAACACTTTTCAGACGAGCTGACCTATGTGATACCCTCGAATACCACGGTACGCGTGTATACACATGTATCACGAATATGTATACTTTACCGACGAGTGTAACAGCGTGAAAGTGTGACTTTTAAACAATCTTCTGATATTTAGTTTCAATCTTTTACTATCTGACTGTAAGCAAGAATATATCCTCGGATTATTTTTAATTGGGGATCTTCAGCGGTTTTTTAGGTAGCGCTGATCAAATTAGGGTAAATCAAACATTGGCATAATGAAAATAGGCATTGGAGATCAAATGATGGTCATAAATTAATGCATAAAATTTTACAAATACATTAATTGTATGTTATTCAAATTATTCTATGTCTATGATTTTGTTTACCACAGTCAAATCAAGAAAAAGAATACGAAAGTATGCTGTCTGTATCAATAGATATGGCTTTATTTCGAAGAGTCAAGATGGCGGACGCAGGTGCGCCACTAACCCCCTTGAATCAAGATTTCCGTGCTTATTATTCGAAAATTTCGAGAGCAGTATCATTTATATGCGGCGCCTCTCGAATGCAGCGGAGTGTCGATCATCCCGACAATTGGTAAATGGCTCTCTCGTATCTCGGTGCACGTCGTTGAAACAGAGATTTTGCTATGAGCTACAGTAGCACAATGGCTGCCGCAAGGTCTTTTAGTTCTTTATAAAAAAAACGACAATATTCTATTTACATTACTTTAAGAGGGTATTCCCACTCGGAGGCGTTATATTTAAGCGATTTTTAAAACTAAAAATCAGTGGACCAAGGAACTTATAGTTTTCCGTACAAGTTTGTTCACATTTCAAGAAAGCACAGTAAACTTTTTGTGCAATTATCTCTTATATTAACAAAGTTATTAAATGTTTATCGGTCTGAATGGCTGTCACGATTCAAGTTGTGTTCATCGGAAAAAAATCAAAGATAATCTTAATCTACATAAAAGTGGCTATCTTGTGAACTGCATGAAGCAGAAAAAACTTTTAACAAAATGGCAGCCATGTAAATAAAAAATTCATTAAATTTGCAACTTCAAGGCGATAAAAAGAAACTATTGATATATTTAACAATCGATATATTTATCCCTTCGAATGGGAATACCCTCTTAAAGAATGTTAATACAGCGAACGATAACTATAAACATAATAAATAAACTTGGTGAATTATAAACAGAGATTTGGGTCCGACAATTAACTAAATGTAGTAGAAAAATGACACCTAATCTACATCTCGTTTAGTCCTGTACAATGCATCATATCTCTAAATAAGTTCCCTTTTCATATCATCGCTGAAAATTATGGGAATATTGAAAATACTCCTTTGATCCGAGTACTTCAACCAGAGCCAATTCTGCAAAAGTAACTTCCGTTTATGGTTCCGTTGAGAGTTTATTAAGTACATCATCGTATCGTTACCGTTGATTGTACAAGGCACACAGTACAAACAGAGCGTGGAAAAAGATACTTGAAAAAGGAAGAACCAGTTGCAGCTGACGATGATCGAAGCGCTCCAGTCCAGAGCAAACTCGCTCTTCCTGAAGTCCTTGAGGTCTTGAAGCACGCCAAATCACTTTTGTGTATTTACGTTTCGCGTTGCCAGAGAACATGACTTTCTTTCAAGATGTTCTTAAGACGTTCAGCTACCGGATTTCATGTGTTTATCCTGGTAGGATCGACGATCCCACCGGAACTACTTTATCAAGGTCCATGTGTAACTCTCTCGACATTAGAGCTTCGTTTTATTTCTCATTAAATCGAAACGAATAACGCAATTTTCGGAACGATAACATCATTGATCTTGCGGCGTGCTTATCGACAGCGGAAAAGAGAGCTCGAGAAGCTGTGTTGACGTTTCACGGAAAAATAGTTAAAAAAGAAAATGAAAGAAACGTTTCATATGTTGCAAACGTGATCGCGATTCCATTTAAAAAGAGAAAGACCAGTGGTTCTTTTTCCCGAAAAGATGGCAAAAATTCTATTTTTGAAGTAAGTAGTAGCTTATTGATAGTACCACACACTTAATGTATATATACCAGTGTAATAAATGTCGCTGGAAATTGTAAAATGTAATGGCCGATTAGTGAGATATATGCCAAAAGTGTTAAGTCTTTTATTGTGAATATTGCATTTTTGGCAAGACATTCGAATTCAGCAACTCTAAAAACATGAGAATACCAATTTTTATGAAAATCCAATGAAGTTATGAATTTTGGTCAGCTTTTCGGAAAAGAGGACCACTGTGCGTCGCTTTGGCTTCGCGTTCTCGGCCGTGTATTCGTTTCCTTCGTCCATCGTTCTGGCTTGTTGTCGCCGACAAATGCCCACATCCTCCCGTGCAGAAAGTTAATGCGTTAAACTTCGGTTCGCAAATCCATGCTCGGCACGAACCGACCGGGCCCCCGTCTTATGAACGTAGGCGTACACTTGAGGCACGTGCCACATGTTCTTGTCCGTATTCCGAGCACACAGCCTCGCCACGCAGACGTTCCAGTTAACTTCCAATGCCAAAACGATGCGGCGTACGTCCTTTCGTATCGCCGCTAATGCAATTCATTCCCTCGATTCGTCCAGCACGCGTTTCAGGACGTGATAAAGGACTGATTATAAACAAACGTAATCGGTTGAAATGTATCGGGAGGCAATGTATCGTGATGTATCGATAAGTAATTCACTATAGTTCCAATATGGCGGCGATACAATTTACTTTCAGTATATCTTTCCAATTTTCTGGTTACAAGGAAACTTGATTCGTCCAACAATTTTCATTGTTTTTAACCTCGTCAGGTTTGTAGGGGACTTATAAACATATAAATAAACACATTTTCAGCAATTCCATTAGCCACGTTTAAAGAGCATAAGAAGTCATTAAATTTTCATTGTAATAGTTTTTTTACACCTATTGTAGTTTTCGAGATATACAGGAAAATAGAAAAACACGCATTAACCTTTAAGGGATGGTTTCACCCTGCAGAACCGAATATCAGCAGACACGAAAAATTGTACGACGCTTCTGTTATGGTTCCTTACACATCTGCGGAGTTTAAAAAATTGCAGAATTTTTGCGCTACTGAGGTTCCCTTGTTAATCTAAATAACAAAGGATAATGGGAACATTTAAGTTATTTCGAAACGAATATACAGCTTTACAAGAAAAATAAAGTACTACTTATAACATTAGGTACACCTAATAAGTTCTGATTTTGTAAGTCCGTTGTGAAAATCGAAAAGGTCATTCAATTAAAGAATGCTTGTTTTCCATGTGTTTCAGTGTACAAAAGGCTGCGAAGCGTGGCAACAGGCCCTGGACACGAGCTGCCAAGCCGTTTGCGTAAGTGCAATCTACTAAATAATCACAGCGTATCCTAATACTTAACCGTTTATTATTCTATTTTACAATTCTATTAAAAATCTGACATGAACGGGATCGGTTTACAGAACGGAACGCAAGAGCTACTACCGCCGAAAGAACTGTACTGTGTTCTGGGTTGTCACGACGCGTTGAACCGTTACTTCCAACAGCTAAAAGGTAATACATTCTACTCACGACGTTGACAATCATCTCTTAAATATTTTTACAGTGAAAAAGGTGTCCTTCCAATGTCCGTTACCAACCCCCCGTAACTACCTCGAGGTTGTTTCGCATCGCGGGTTCAAGCTTCGATCATATTTTCGATTAGAAGTTCATGAAGTCTTTGGCGAAACGATCGACCTTATCGACGTGCAGGGCCTCCTCCGTGTATTCGTCGAAGTTGCTCGTGTCTTCGGGCGAGTAACATTTCGGTATGAAGCTCGGTTGAATCTTTTGATGGTAGATCAGATTCCAGTCGGTCGAGTGAAACCATCTGTGTCCTTTGATGTCCTCCGTGCCGTTCTTGAGGTTCCCGTAACGTCTGGTCAGATCCACCTGAAGTATATTCTTCAGGATGTCTCGCAGCTCTTCGCCGAAATGGTGGGCGTACTTGTATTTACCCGCGACGATCTTCTCGTAAATTTTCATCGGGTCCCCGGAATAGAACGGTGGATAACCGGCGTTCATTTCGTAAATGAGCACCCCGAAGCTCCACCAATCGACGGACTTCCCGTAGCCCTTCGAGAGGATTACTTCCGGGGCTAGATACTCGGGGGTGCCGCACAGAGTCCAGGTTCGTCCGTCGATCATCTTGCAGAAACCGAAATCGGTCACACGTATGTAGCCGGTGCTCTGGATCAGGATATTTTCCGGCTTCAAGTCCCGATAGACCAGGCTGCAATGATGAAGGTATTCGAGAGCTAGAACCACCTGGGCTGCGTAAAACCGTGCCAGAGACTCGTCGAACTTTCCCATTCGTCTCAAATGGGTGAACATCTCGCCACCGTTCACGAACGGCAACACCATGTACAGGTACGAATTGTCCTTGAAGCAGAACTCCATATAGACGACGAACGGGAACCTGACGCACTGGAGTATCCTTTTCTCGTTGTAGGTGTGATTCACTTGCTTCATCTTCACGATCCTCGATTTGTCCAACACTTTCATCGCGTAATAAACCGAGGTCGGTTTGTATTTCACCAGTAGCACACGGCCGAACGCGCCCGTACCGATTGTCCGGAATCGTTCGAAATCGTTCAGGGTGACGTGATCCATCTTGTTAACCTTCCATCGCTCGAGAAACGTGGCTTTCAACTCGTCCAGGATCGTCTGATATTGTTTCTGCGCGTGGGGTTGTTCTGGGTTCATAATCGAGCGATTCACGTGCGAACGAGTACTTTGTCTCTTCTTCGTCTTCTCGTCTTTCACCTTCCTCGAGATTGTGTTTGTCGGACGGTTCGGTCGCGTGTTTCCGTGCTTCATTTAAATAAGTAACGTGAACAAATCGTCGGTTATCAGGCGAGAAATGATGCGGTATCGCTATCGATATATCTGCGATTTCAAGCGGAATATTTCCTGCGATTAACCTACCCGCGATCCTCTCTTGTCGGCGGTTTTTTTTTTCGTCGTAGATTTCGAACATAACCGAAAACATTACAGGCCGATGTCGCTATGAAATTCTGTAATCTTCACGAAACTCGTGTTATTTCGTATTATCAGCGGAAATTGGCGTACCACCGGCGCCGGCGTTGGTCGCGGACTCGTTGACTGCAACATCCCTTCGTCTCGAGTGGAAAGGAATCGACGTCGAAAGACGTGGCGGCGGTATTTCGTACCTGGTGCAGTGGAGGTACGAGGAACTGGCCGAAACCTGGCAGTACTGTAGGAACCAGTCATGGGGCGAGGATGATCAGATTCTGGTGGAGAACTTGCAGCCGTACACGAAATACAGGGTAAACTCCTCAAAGTTCGTCCATAACTTTCTAATTTCGAATGTTGCTCGAAATTATTGGTAACTTCTTTCTATTAATAAGAATCGAAAGTCAGACTGTGACTTTTATTTGATTCAACAAATCGGAGCAGAAAAAGAAGCTTGCGTTTAGGAGAATTCAGGTTTTCCTTAAGCTGCGGTCTACACTGTATAGCAAAACAAAGTGTTAAGTAACAAATTGTATATGTAACTTTGCTACATAACATGGTTTTATAACTTGTTACAAGATTATACCTTCTGAAAGAGTCTGTAACAAGTTTGTATAACATTTCACACCTCATTATTTAATAATGGCGTTATTAAAGGATAACGTATAACATGTTATACAACATTTTTCTTTCTGTTTGTAACTAGTTTTATAACTTTGCTACATAACGTGTTAAAAGTAAAATTCTATGTTTATAGCGTGTGTTTATCGAGGTTGTTTATTTTTTGCAGTTTCGCGTAGCGTTGCTGTTGAAATCGTCGCAGCATAATCCTGAGCCGATCGTGTCCGCTCCGAGCGTTGTGATACGAACGCTGGCAGCCGGTTTCCCGACCTCAGCACCGGTAATTGTAAGAGCGGCGGTGGTAGACAGCTGCCGCGTCTCTGTGTCTTGGGAACCGGGCCCTTTCCCGAATGGGCCACTTTTGTCTTATGTCCTGCGTCTGCAAGGGGCTGACCACTCCCAGCTTAAGGTACACGCCACGCCAGAACTTCAATATACCAATTGATATACATAATAATTATAAATCGCCTTCATGTTCCAAGATGCATAATTCTTTAAGCGTATCGATGCTCTCGATTCTATTCTCTCTACGCTGATTGTCACACGCAAAACGTTTCTCGACACGTTCGTCGACGTACAGTTGAATACGCTTTTCTGTTCTTTCTCTAACTTTTTTTTTAGCAAAACAGCACACTGTGATATGTATGTACACCAACTGGTTCTGCAAGATCGCTCTCCTTTCCGTGAAGGGATGATTAAGTTGGAATGCGGAGAAAATTTTGAACACGAGGACAAATGAGCACTGGTTCCGAATCGTTTGTTTATTGTTGCTGTATGGAAATAATGCATTTGATGTGTACATTTGTCCTCGTATCGATGAAAGACAATATTTGATAGGGTGAACGCATCAATGAATGAACACTTAGCACGTTCGCTACCAGCACATTCGTTCGAAAATATTCATCCCATTTTATTCAATCAAATATCCTTGTCTTTTTGGTCAGAAATGAAAAATACACAAAACAGAGATAATGACTGATACAAGGTATAGGTGAATATTGAAAAGCCCATTCCACTTTTATCTAAAAAAAATTTACTGGCGCATTCACCCTAGTATGTCCAATAAATATCGAATATTTTCCTTAAGGTTTCGTAAAATGCTTGATAATGATCTTCGAACTAACACCCACGCGTAGAAAGATGCTCTAAAAGCATGCTCGTCGCTTTATGTAAACTGCACTTCGCTATCACGGATCTCTATGAACCTTTTGCAATCTATAAACGCACTCACCGACTCTTTACACTTGCAAGAACCAGATCTTCCGACGAAATATGTTTCTGGCATGGCGTTTCTTTTCCTCCACGCATACCGATTTCCTAGCAAGGGATCGAACGGGATAGACACACGAACAGTCTTTTTTTAAACCTGCCTTACGATCGTATCCACAGGATATACCAACATCGGAGAACACGGATCATTACATGTTCCAAAATCTCGAGCCGAACAAGAATTATTCAATAAGCGTGACCATGAGAAACGAGGCTGGCGAGGGTCCTCCCGCGGTCATTTACATCACGACTACTCCAGAACCAGCCGGTATGTTCCTAAAGTCTGGTAACGTTGTATTTCCGTCGGATGAATTCAAGACACGAAAATGTCTTGAAAAGTGCTATAAATATTCCACCCCCTTAAAAAAGGTGTGATAATATTTCAGTTAAGGATACGCAACAACCGATACTAATTCTTGGAGGTCAGCACATGGTTATGAAGCAAGACGCTGACATGTTGGACGACCCCAGTGTCGTTTATGAAAACACCAGCACGATCCGCGGGGTCGCGATTCACGTTGCCTCGGCTCAGCTGTTCGTTTCCGACTCCGTGGGATACGTGTATAGAACATCCATAACAAAACGTACAAAACCCACGGTGATACTCAGTCCTAGCCAGGCGAACTTCAAACCCCTGAGTCTGTCTGTGGATTGGTTGAATCTTCATTTGTACATCCTGGGCGAGGTGAAACACGCGACGACAGTTTGGCAGATAGCCAGATGCAATTTAGATGGAAGGGGATTGACGGTAGCAGTGGCTGGTTTCTTGACAAGGCCCACTCATATCGAAGTGGATCCGTACAATGGGTATCTATTCTGGGTCACCAGGGGCGGTTTATACCGACTGGATCTGGCTGACATAAGTAATGGAGTGAAGCACGAGGTACGTTTGCATTCTCGTATAGGCTGTCTCAAAGGATTCAAGAATCATCTTCTGAGTAGCGTATTTTTTACCTGTTACAGGTTCAACCGTATTTGATCCTAGACGATGCACACTTAGGTGCATTTACCGTCGATCACACGAACTTTCGCTTGCTAGTCCCTCATCACATTCAGAACACAGTGATATCGGTTTCCCTGGATGGTCGCGAGGTTCTGGACCTACGCGCTAACACGCAGCAGCCGAAATTCAAGAACGTCGTCTCCTTGGCCATGGCGAACGGTTTGTTCTATTGGACAAACGGGGAAGAGGTGCTGATCGAGGGCTACCACTCGGGCCAGAACAGATACTTTCACAATGCTTATCCCGACAGGTGACCGACTTCGTTGACGATTCAGAGCACGGGGTGTTATCGGCGCAGATGGCTAAATGACCATCGTCGGTTTCAGATCGAACGGTTCGTTTGTCAGTGTCAATGTACTTATGGACGCGAGCCAGCCGGTTCCAGTCCCCGTGAACCCACCCACGGGAGTACAGGCTGTTCTGGGTGTGGAAAGGGCCAAAGTCTCTTGGCAAGCGCCTCATCTGTTGGGCGGCCAGGGTAAAGGCGCCTGGCAGAATTGGTCGTACGAACTCGAGATCAAAGATGAGTCCACCGGGGAGACGATTCACCAGAAGGATATCGCTGGCTCGTCTCATACGGTGCACAATCTTCGGGAGAAATCGGAGTATTCGATCAAAGCGGCTGCCTACACGAGCGCTGGTAGAGGACCATGGTCTACCGAGTTTAGGGGACGAACATTGAGGTAAATTTTAATAAATTAGTGGTATAATGATTAACTCTTCATTCCTAAATTATTTAAAAATTATCAAAGAAATATTTTCTTGCATTTTTTTTGTATGTTGCCGTTCTTCATTCGGTGCCATTTCATTATAGTTATATATAATAATTCCCATCATAATATTATATATAATAAAACCTCATTTTTTTACCTTGGATTAATAAACCTTAAATATTTGAAAGACATTAGAGTTTTGTAAGTTTCTATTGTATTTGTAACGATACTCAACACCCGAATTCTATCGAATGAAGAAGACACAGGGCAAATAATGTCTTATTTTACCTAGAAACTTTTAAATGCACCCTTAAATCCGTGTCATATCATATATAACAAGACTAGAATAAATCATTATACACTCACAGATATGAAAAAATACACGATTCTAATATTCTATTTTCGTAATTTAAAATACGTAGCCATATGGCAACGAAATAGTGAACTTTATATCAATTATATAGAGATGGATCACACGCGTCCATTCTGTGGTCCGCGAACGAGGGTTTATTAAGAAGCGACGTGACTGGTGAAAATATCGATACTCTGATCTACAAAGCCAGTCTGAAAGAAGCAGAGACCGATTATCATATCGTTGACGTGAGCTGGTACAAGGACGTTCTCTACATCGTCGGCAATAATTCAGCGATATATCGATACAATATCACCAGCCATCAGAAAACGAAGATGAACATTAACTCTGTCGGGAGTGTTGCTGTTGATTGGATATCGAGAAAGTTGTACTGGGCCAATCCGAAACAACAAATTGTAAAAAAAAACAATACAGTACATTATAATACACACGTGTGTGTGCCATAATTATTGGAGTTTTCATCGTTATTCTTTTTCCAGATAACAAGAGCACATTTAAATGGATCTCACCAAGAACCAATGTCGATTCTAGCTATCGTCAAAGAGCTGATGATCGACTCTTTAGAAGCGTATTTATACTGGTCGACGGGACACGCTGTCGAAGTTGCACGGTTGAACGGTCAAGACAGAAGATACTACCATTCGGATGAGATATTTAATGGCAAACAAGTGATGGGTTTAACTCTGGATACAGAAAACAGATACGTTTATTGGATCGTTCGAAGTTACGAGAGCGGATCGATCGTCTATCGTGCGCCTACATCCGAGAGGATTCCTATGATCCACAAAATCGTACCCGAAAAGGTCTCTATCAACATCGAAACTTTTCTGTTTACCATAATCGAATAAATGATTGAAAATTGTTTTACAATATTTCTATTGTCAGGTCTCGGCTCTACAACACCCAAACATGCAAGGGCCACTGTGTTACTTCTCGGAACATCTTCTGTGGCTTCAAGACGATCGAAACGCGGTGATAGGCGATCTGTCCGGTCAAAACACTGCCGTGATAAATGGTATCACTCTATCGGGCCTCCACATGGTGGCCGTCATGGATCCTGCTCTTCATCAATATCCGAACAATCTCACCTCGGAAACAGTGGTCGTTTTACCAAAGGCGGTTAACTACAACAGTATTAGGGTCGAAGGAACGTGGAGGAACTTCAACATATCTTGGGATCCCGTGGAGAACATAAATTACGGAACTGTATTTTACGAAGTGAAATTCGCGGACTATATTAACACTAATTCGAATCCAGAGATAACCACAGAGACCTCGATGGCGTACAACAATTCCGAGCAGATTCTACCGTACTCGGTTCTGGAAGTGACCGTGAAAGCGTTCACCTATTGGGAAACGGCGCATCACACGAGAAGGACACTTAGATCCCCCCAGAGTGTGCCGAGTCAACCAACGAATCCCAGAGCGTTCATAGAATTCCATAAAGAACCTCTTAGCGAGACCGTTGATATATTTGCGATATTCAGGTAAGCATCGGGCCTCTACCCTCTATAGATCATCAATTTCCAGTTGATGGTATTACAATTCGTAACCATTTTAAATTCGTGTTGTTTACCATTGATCTTCTAACATTTGCAGATGGAATCAACCGGAGTTCACGAACGGTGTGATCACCGGTTATACCGTCCAATGCTGGAACCTCGTGGAGGTGCAACTCTGCGACCAATCTCTTATTATCGATAAACTGGAGCACGCTGTGCACGATCTGCTGCCGAACACCACGTATTACTTTCAAGTTCGTGCTCACACGAAAATAGGACCGGGTCCGTATTCCGATGTGATCAACGTGTCGACGGTATACGAGAACCCGGTGCCGCAATTGTTGGTCGCCACTATGGACGCTGTAAGGATATCCGACTTGGATCAAGAGAAGAACGACACCATCACCCGCCACATCGCGGTCGAAGTGACGTATCTGGCGGCGGACGGCAAGATCTATTGGATAAACGAGATGCAGGAGCTGGTCACGGCCGATCTGAACGGAGTGAACGCCACCAAGATCTTGACATTGAACAACACCGCCCTCAGCTTAACTGTCGATTGGGTCTCGAGGAATCTGTACTGGTCGGAGTCGGACTACCGTGAGAACGGAGGTCAGATCTTCAAGCTAGACCTGACCACGTCGCAAGGTGGGATTCTTAAGTACGAGAACATCGTTACGGCGAGCAGACGTATTCTGAACCTCGATATACTACCGTCTACAGGGTAATCGTTCGTTTCTAAATTATTATACTCTAACTTATCGTCAACATCATCAATATATATGTCTGTATATCTACTTCTATAGGTCATTATACTGGATCGAGTTAACGAAAAACGACAGAGGCGTGATAATGCAAGCAGACTTGAACGGTAAAGCCGTTCAACCCTTCTTCAATCACATGGACCATTGCTCCTGCCCGTATAGACCATCCGTGATCCCTGTGATGACGATCGATAACACCAGTTTCCAGAAACCGACCATGTACTGGGTCTCCCTCGAAGGACACTTGAACATCGCCGATATTAACGGGTGCACGTGCAGCATGATTGTGAACGCGGATTTCAACAAGGGACTTCCACCGACTTCGCTGACCGTGGACAAGAAGAACATATACTGGTCCAATTTCGAGGAGGGTCAGATTTATTTCATAAACAAGGAATATCCATACGACGGGGAGATTCTACATTATTACTTGCCGGCTGTGAGAAGTATCAAGGCTCTAGGAAAGTCTTTGCAACCGTATCCGACCACGAATTGTTTGATACCTCGTCAGGTGTCCTACAACGTGAAAGAGATCAGGAAAACGGAGAACAGCATCACCGTGAGGCTTCCTCAGCCAGTTCCTCACTTTGGCTGCGAGAGATACAATTTACCAACGACCCTGTACACAATATACGTGTCCCAATGTCTGGAGAACGACCCGAGCAAGTGCGAGGATAGCGACAGAACGAGGCTGCAGACTTACGATAAAGAGTACGGGATCAGGGATCTGAATCCTTTCACGAAGTACAGGTTGACAGTGGCGTTGAGTAACTACTACGCTGATTTGGAGTCGATGAGCCTGGAGTTCGGTTCCGGTGTTGTCTTAAGAACGGGCGCTGGGATTCCCACAGCTCTTCGATACGAGGTACACTGGAGACTGGTCCGACTGATAAATGGGGCGCGGCAGAAAGGCGAACAGTTGATAAAAAGTCCCGAAAGCACAGCCGATGGTAGATTCTTCACCATGCTGGAACCATGGTTACCGGGCCAGGAGTATTTAGTGTTTGTCCGAGCTTATCCTGTTCACTTGGGACTGGGTCTAGACGTTTACAGTCAGAGTCCCGATCAAGTGGTGAAAATGTTCCCGGAACCTAACAACCTAACGTTAACCGGCGTCAGCGTGAACAGTATGAACGTAACCTGGGCGCCTACCGCCAACTTGACGATCAAATACACTTTAGAGTACAAAGACGTCGCAGTGGAAGACTGGCGGGCCGCGAACGATTCTAAAACGGACAAAGACAAAGTGACATATTTCATTGATAAATTGCAACCACGTACTTTGTATAAGTTCCGTTTGCTTCTGAGATATCCTAGCTATAAAAAAGACTTTCTGTGGCCGACAGATGGAAGATTCACGTTTCAAACGTTAGGTAAGTTGACTTCCAATCGTTTCTTTAATTATGATACTGTTTACAATCTAATCTTACGTTGATTATGATGAATCAGGCGATGTACCAAGTGCTCCGGGAATGCCTACGGTAACGAAACTCCGTAATTCCGTGTACCAATTGAACTGGGAGCCAGCGCAAGCTCACGGCTCCCAGATTACTCTGTACCGTGTCGTGGGAATAAAAATAAACGAAATTAACGAACAAATCGACTCGAACGAGAACGCAAGCTGGAGGCTTTACTATAACGGGACTGACAATTATTGGATAATTACGGGCGATATGGACGACAAGTATCGGTTTCGTGTTCAGGCGAGAAACGCGTACGGATTCGGTGGCTGGAGTAGATCCAGCCCAGTCGTTGATTTAACAGAGACTACTGGAGGGATTTTGGCAACGCAACAGCATCTTGGATTGGTGTTAGGGCTCAGCGTTCCTGTTATCACTATAATGCTAATCTGCTTCTGTTATTTCCTTTGCCGTAAGTATATAATTACAAAGGAAAGATGTTTTTTTCACGTTTAATCACGTGTTTATCCGAAGTTGTTGACAGTATGAAAAATAAAATTGTTAATTCAGCAGTTTATCGGCAACGCAAGGAAGACAAGAAGGCTGTTTTACCGCCTTTGGTGAGCGACGTGGAGCTAGCCACACTTCGGGAGATCCCTCGTGGAAATTTTGTTCAGTCCAACGCCCTTTACGCCTCCACATTGCAAAACGATCCCGACGATTCTACGCTTCCTAAGATACGAAGGGAGCAAATCACTCTGGCGAAATTTTTGGGCAGTGGAGCCTTTGGCGAAGTAAGCGAATCGTCTAATCTACGAAGCAATATTATTTCTTAGAATTCCAGGGCTGATTCTATTATTGTTATCGAATATCCTGCAGGTATTTCAAGGGAATGCGAAAGACTTGGAGAGACCAGGAGTCACCCCGGTTGCGATCAAGACACTCAGAAAGGGTGCATCGTCGCAAGAGAAAACCGAATTCCTTCAAGAAGCGAGACTCATGAGTCATTTTCGGCACAAACACGTGCTCCGGCTTCTTGGTGTCTGTTTAGACACGGACCCACCGTTGTTGGTGTTGGAACTGATGGAAGCCGGTGATTTATTGAGCTATTTAAGAGCAAGTCGATCGCTGCAACCCACCGATTCACACGCTTTGCGTCTGCAAGATTTGTTGGCCATGTGCGAGGACGTGGCAAGGGGATGTCGTTATCTGGAGGAACTTCATTTTGTACATAGAGATCTTGCGTGCAGGAACTGTTTAGTCTCCGCCAGGGAGAGGGAGAACCGGGTTGTTAAGATTGGCGATTTTGGGCTTGCAAGAGATATTTATAAGAACGATTATTATAGAAAAGTAAGTGGAATATACTGTGATTGGAATCTGTTTAAAATCCTAGGATGATTAGTCAACTGATTGTTGGTATTTCTCGTTTTTTAGGAAGGGGAAGGATTACTGCCTGTCCGTTGGATGGCTCCTGAATCCTTGGTCGATGGTGTATTCACTTCTCAAAGTGATGTCTGGGCATTCGGAGTATTAATGTGGGAGATCACATCTCTGGGCCAACAACCATATCCTGCCAGAACAAATCTTGAAGTGTTGCATCACGTGCGTGCAGGTGGGAGACTACCGAAGCCTCAGAACTGTCCACCTGGTTTGCATCAATTGATGTTGCGTTGTTGGAGTTCTGCTGACACTAGACCGAGTTTCAAAGTCTGCCTGAAGAATATAGTTAGCCTTCGGGGTACTATAGAGGATGCAGCATTGAGCCCTGTGCATGCTGGTCATTACTTAGCTAGAAGAGGTAAGTGTAGATTTGTATCTTAACATTTGCATTATATGAATTTATTGGCATGAAATAGAAATCTTTTAAAGTACAATATGTTTCGAAGATAATCCGGTAAAATTCAATTTCTAAACTTGTAAGCTAATATTAGGTTTGCTTCATCATTAAATAGTACAAGCATAGTCATAAATGTCGTTACTTAAATTTCAATCTATTTACTAAATACAATTTATTTTCATATCACACGAGATAAGCATGTGCTTTTCCAAATATGTACAACCATAGTTCTTCGACCAATCGTTCATGATGCATCATCGTAAAAATGTGTTCAATATATAAATTTAACAGTTTGCTTGAATACATATTTATCATTGCATGGCTCATGCTTGCAGGCGTGTCTAACATGGCTTACTTTGCTGACGAGAATCAAAATCATAACAATTCAGGTAGGTTCTCTGTGAAGATCATCTATCTACGCTGCTTTCTCTATTTCTATTTCATTACACCCCATGGAAGCGAAGTTTTTAAGACAAACTGTGAATGACAGGATCGTTGATTTGTACAGGAAATTCATGGAAATCCAGCAGTTCAGAAGGCAGTCGTGATATGCAGCCGTTCCTTCAAATTTGTCATAACCCGTCGCAATTGAGCGAAATACCAAAATATTTGGAACTATTGGCGGATAACGAAGATATTATTTTAAGGGAGAATTCAACAAGTGGATACGAAGTGCCGCGATCAATTTATATGTCTGATCAAAACTTAGGTAATGTAAATAAAGCTAGTACAAACGCGGATTTAAAGGATAATTTGCATTCCGACACGTTGCAAGAACAGAATGATTCTTTGACCGATGATAAAGAACAATCAGCAAGGCGGTGTGATAAGAGATCTTCTGTGTCTAGTTTGAATCTACCAGAACGTAAGAGAGCATCGATCACAAGTATGACTGAAAAATGTAATACCTTAGATAGTTCAAAATTAACCAGTCCCACTCTTAAGGCGATTTTGAAAAGGGACTCTTTTACCTCGTTAAATGATCACCGAAAGAACAAAAGGAATACGAATGAACGACGGGGATCAGAAATTAGTTTAGAGGGTAGAAGTACCAGTTCTCTCAGTTCAAATATAAGTTTAGCCCCACCTACGCGACCCAGCTCGTCGTTAATTAGTTCACAAAATGTTCTTGCATTGAAAAACAGTGTTATGGGTGGTACCGGAGACTCTGCAGTGAATGACAATAACGTTACGAGAAGTATATTGCCAAAAATTCAAAGGACTCATTCTAATTTACAGAATGGCAAAGCAAATATTCCTTTAGCGATAAATAGTGCGTTACTGAATTTGTTAAGGCAAACACCGGTCGAAGATAGTAATAATATTGTTACATATACGAATATCAATGCAGACGCTGTTAGGGTAAACGGATCGTGAAGCTTTTATTGCTAAAAAGAAATAAAAAGAACAAGTCATTTAAACAGTCATATCTTTAACTATATGAAAACGGAAAACGTGTGTGAAGTTCCATAGCTTTAAACTGCCATGATAATGTGTGTACATATTTAAATTTCAATATTTGAAGTCTACTTTATGTAAGTCACGGCAGAAAATGTGTAATTGTAGCTGTATTAGTTAACAATCAAGGACTTGTTTACGATTTAAGGAACAAGGATAGTTATAGAGTATTATACCAGGATTAGAATAATCCGACATAGTTTTATACTTGTTATTGAAAATAATGTATTTATTGAATGACCTAAAAGTATAAAGTTTCACTGTTCATTGTACAAATTTCATATTTGGTGATAATATAAGATATGATCCTGAAATTGATATTCATGTTACATAGGGATTTGTTAAGTTTTATATGTAAATTTAATAATTCTTATTAAGACAGTACAATTAAGAATAAAAGTTTTCAACTATGCTTGAACTTTGTATGAATGGACTGATAATGTTTGAAGCTAACACTTTCAAGCTTTATTGTTAATACATTACACACAATAAAGCTGGAAAGGTATTGTAAATATTTTATCAACACAAAATTGATATTTTTTTAACTGCATTCACAATGTCTTTTCCATAAAAGTATTAAAATGATATTATAGGTATCTAAATCCAGAGAATTAATAGGCAAGGTACAGTAGTAAAAGCGATAATACACCTGAATACGTACTTTTTAAAAATATTTAGACAATATGGTATCGCAAGGGAATAAAATTCTTTACACTCGTGTATGTATCTCTTAACGTTTTTTATACACTGGAAAGATATGTTTCATTGAATGATGTATAACATAAAACTATTCAAAAATTGAATAGTTTGATAAATATTTTATAGTCTTCCTATTTAAAGATATTTTTATATGTAATCTACATATTGTTAGTTCCTTAAAAACTTTGTAATATTTAAGCTATAAGCCAGACTTTGTAAATACCTTTCATTGGTATATTAAGAAATGTATTGCTAAGATAGTTGTAATTGTATGAATTTTGTATATTTGATATGCACAAGTTAATACAGTCATGCAAATATCACCTCACATAGACTTGCATACAACATGAGAAATTTATTGTCCGAGTTTGGGGTAAACAAAATTTTTAATGTAAATAAATAAACTGCAATGTAATTCAAAAGTGGTTTATTACAATCAATTTTCTCACTAATATCCACAAATGGAAATTTTAAACAGTCGCTATTTATTGTGTCAGGGATCTGAAATTTTACTATGAAGAATATTGTACTATGATAAATGCTCTAATTGAGAATTGTAGAATTTTACATATTGATGTCATAGCAGAGTTTTACAATCTATTCTAAGAGGTAACATTAATACTTAGTGTATTTAAAATATCATTTGCAAATTTCATTAAAATATTTTACAAGAAATAGATCCTGGAATAGAATATACAAAGATTTATGTAAATTTTTCAGACCGACTACATTATTTATAAGTAGTACAAGTTATGAAATGTGTTACCTATGCAGTAGCAGTTGTAGTAGTAATATTAGTAGTAGCTGTAGTAGCAGCACTGAGGGGAACATCATCATCTAAAGAATCATCTTTGCTATGCTCATGTAATAAGACATATTCCCTAGAGCTAAATCCAAAACGTAATACATCTCTCTCTAATAGTTCATGATACCTTCTTGGTTCTAACTTTACATTATTTACAAATGTACCATTCGCAGATTCTAAATCTATGAGATATGGGCGAAGTCTTCTTCCTTCGCCACCTCCTTCCCTTTGGAAAGATACTAAACGATATTGCAAAACAGCATGCTGTTTTGAACATGAAGGATGATCCAAAGGAATATCTGCAATTTTTCTATCTCTGCCCATTAGATACGCTGATTGTCTGTGAACATATAATGTAGGTAATGCCTTCTCTCCCTTGAAAGGATATAACCTCCATCTACGTTTAGGTTTCCTTGCATCCGGTGGTTCAGAATATTTAATGACTACTCCATTCACAGTATTTGCATCTTCAGTGAGTTTACCAGACAATTCAAAATTTGGTTTTTCTTTATCTTGAGGATTTGGTTTAGGTTCTGTTTTTATTGTGGGTTTACCCCATTCTGGTGAAGGTTCCATCTTTGCTTTCATGTCCTCAAAATTACTTCTTCTCTCTCTATTTGCATCATTGTGTCTTTTGTTATACTCATTTGAGTCCTTGTGTTTTCTGCCCCTATCTTCATAATCTTTATACCTTGAACGAGGTTCTTCTCTTCTCATATGCGATCTCTCATACCTTCTCTTACCATTTTGTCTCTCATCGTCTCTCCTTGGATGATCATGTCGCCTATCCCTAAATTCTCTATCCCGTTCACGTTGCGATCTATCACGATGCATATCATTATTGTCTCTTCTTACTTCTCTGTTAAATTTGTGAACGTCCCTACCTTCTCTGTTATCTCTATAATTTTTATTCTTGCTGCTGAATTCCTTTCTGCCCAATCGTCTGTCTTGGTTAGGGCTCTCGTCGCGCTTGTGTTTATGCCTTTTCCGTAACTTTTCGTGACGGCTGTCATCACTATTTTCAGAACTGTTGCTGGACATTTTTTAAATTGTTGTTGACAAATTCCTTGGAAAAACAAGCGTTATCATAATTTTAATATTTTAATGTGACGCGATGTTGGCGTAACATAACCTATCCTGGCAAAAAATAATTTGTTATAATCGAAAATATACAATCGCTAAAACCTACTGATACAATAAAACTGTTAAAATATATATTTAATACTTACGCTCTCTGACCGCTGTCACAATGCTTATTTATAATTCAAACGTCTTTTAAAACACTAAACACTTCACTTATACGCGTTATACTTGCGTTATACAAAACAGGAATAAGCGCCACCATTTGTGTCGAATTTGAGGTAACGGAAGATATCTATCTATGCAAACTCTCTAATTAAACATGCAAGCATTTTTATGGCTGGCCATGAACAGTTATAATGTTATTACAATAATGGCATTAAAACATCATTTCTTACTTTCAAGACGACAAACGCAACACCATCGTCCTTATAAATGGCAATTTACATAAATTGAACTCGATTCAATTAAATTTGTTGGTGAACGTTAGGTGCACAAATTAAATTGAACTAAATTGAGTTACAATTACAAAACTTTTAAAACTGTTTTTCCATAAATAAGTCTTCTTTCGGAATGCATTAAGGTTTCCAAACTATTGAAATGATGCACAAGGTATCACAGGAAATTATTTAATCGTACAAAAGGATTGCATTTATTTTATATAAAAATCGTAGAAAATCAGTATATACATAATAATACATAATTAAAATATCTACAAAGGGTACTTATATTTTTATGTCCTTTACCGCGTTCGTTGTAATTTTAATATATAACATGTACGACGACAGAACGTTTCGTTCGTTGTGTCCAGACTTGGCACGCTAAACATGTATCTTTTTCATTTGTAAATTAATTATCAGCTATGGTACGCCATAGGATTCGTTTGTGTAGTGCAAGTTAGTGCAATGTAAAATTCGAGTCATCGAAGGAATTACTGTCCGAATTGCTTTCGGCAGCGTCCACGAAGGCCGTGGATAGATCACCGGACAGTTTGCTCACAGTCTGTGAAACCACGTCGTACATGAAGATCTCTTTCTCGCCTTGATCGGTCTCTTTTGGCCTGTAACAACAACAGGACACATTGTCTTGAGGCTGAAGAAAGTGAAGCCAATCGATTCGAACCATTAACCGGTAAAAGGGGTGCATGCGGAAGCAGCTTAAAGCGTCGTAGGAATGTTGCGATATAGGAGAATATATGGCTCATTAAAGAATAATTGCACATGCCGTTTAAAGCAAACGAACGAGTTAACGAAGGTAAACGAGAGCGGGTAAGGGTGATTAGTTATGGCATCGCGACTACCACTTACATGGTTACCAAGAGTACAACCGACTGCTTCTGCGGCTCCGTACGGCTCTCCTGTTCCAACCACTTCTTGTAGTTCTCCGCGGTTGGCTTCTTCACCAATTGCTTCAGAGTGTCGCCGGCAAGAAACTTGACCGCTTGTACATCGCTGGTACGTCTACCGTGCCTCGACTCGATCTCCTTCTCTTCGTCTTGAAAGTTATAATCGACGGGGGCTAGCACGACCACACTGGAGATCTTCCGACCGTTCAGCTGTGGCACATCGGGAATAGGGAAGGAAGCACCGCTCACTTTGAGCGGCAGATAACGATTATATTGAGCCTCGTCCCGCGATCCCACGGTTACGGGATTCAGCCTGGTAGCATCATCGCGTATGTGCTGATCCGCCAGTGCCTGGCCTTGCTCCGTATTCGGATCGAAGCGTACTACTTTCATCTCTACGCCTCCCGGGCGTAAGGTGGCCTGCTCGAACTTAGTCGGGTTGCCAGTGGCCGTCTTCTTGGCCAGAACGGCAGAAGAAGTGGACGAAGAAGAGGAGGTCGCGGAAGACGAGTCGGCCGTTTTGGGTTTCTTGACGATCGACGGTACCGGTTCGCTGGCAGCCACCGCGGAAGCGCCTCCGGCACCGTAGAAATTCGCCAGGGCCTCGGGCGGTAGTTTCTCGATCGGTATGTCGCCGACCTTGTCGTAATCCAGTATTTGTATGTCGGCGTTACCTAAAATACCGGAACTGAGCAACTGTTCCCTTATATCATCCGGAACCTCATCCGGTAGGTTCGCGATGTTCGCCTTAATTTTAGCTTCGTTCTTGGGCGAAATAGTGGTCGTTGTCGATGGTGCCTCGGTTGTCGTTGTTGTCGTCGTTGTGGTGGTAGTCGTTGTACTCGATACGAACGATCTCACAGTGGATATCGCGTTGAAATCTTCCGTGTTAGTTACCGGAGTCGCGTAAATCTTCTGAGAAGGATTCGACGAGAAGGATGGTCGTCCCCAGATCGACGACCTTTGGGATAACGATGGGAATCGTTGTTGTGACACTTGTGGTGGTGGTTGCGGTTGTTGTTGTTGTTGAGATGATTGATGATTTTGTGAAAAAAATCCTTGTTGTTGATTTTGGAATATTTGTTGTTTCGTGTTCAGATGTTGTTGCTGGTCGTTTAGATTAAATTGGGTCGTTGGGTTTCTTATCAGGTGTTGGCTCTCTGGCGACGGACTTGGCGTTTGAAGGGAGCCATATAGGTCTTGTGCCGTTTCCGAGAATCCTGTTGGCTGAATTACGGGATGAGGCGGGAATGGGCCGGGGTGAAGTGGATTCTCTCGAATTGCATAATGTTGTTCCAATTTAGGAACAGCTTTGAATATTTCTCCGCCCGGTTTCTGAACCTGAGGTTGAACCGGTATTTGCGGTATACCCGGTACCGGTTGCGGTTGATTGTACTTTAACTGTGCACGATACTGTTGCTCTTGCAACAACTTCTGTTCCTGTTCTTTATTCCTTCTACGTTGCTCCTGCAATCGTTGCTGCTCTTGCAGTCTTTGCTGTTCCTGTATTCTCTGTTGTTCTTGTACTCTCTGGTGTTCCTGTAGCCTCTGATGATCCTGTTGCCTTTGTTGCTCGTGTTGCCTTTGTTGTTCCAACAACCTTTGCTGCTCGATCTGCCTGTGTTGTTCAACATGTCTTTGTTGTTCCGTTTGCCTTTGCTGTTCCAAAAATCTCTGATGTTCCTGAAGCCTTTGTTGCTCGTGTTGCCTTTGATGCTCCCTGTGTTTCAGCAGTTCTTGCTGTCGACGTTGTTCATGATACCGTTGCTTCTCCAATTCCTGTTGCTTATAAAGAGGCAACGTTTGTTGCTGTTGCTGCTGTACAGGTTGTTGCTGATCCACGTTAAAATGATTTCCCTGGTTTATCGGTAACGGTTGGTTTTGTATCTGTACACTTTGGTGGGAAACCGAAAGCGTTGGAGGAAATCCTGGTTGCTGCGGGTGACTGATACTGACACGATGAGGTGGGCCGAAGTTACTGAACGGTGCACGTTGCTGCACTTCCGGCAAGCCTTGAATCGTGATAGGCAGCCGTTGAGGTCTTGGCAACGGGTTTCTCGTCTGCGGTGGCGTAGGTGAGAACGGTGACTGTTGCTGCAAGAAATTTAGAGGTTGTTGCTGGGACGGTTGATGCAGTGCCGGCTGTTGCGGAAACGAATTCGCGATCCTTTGCTGCGGAAACGCGGCCGGTACTCTTTGATGGACAGGCTGAATCGGTTGATAGGGACCGTGTTGCCGTTTAGGAGAACCAGGTGCAGTGGAGGCTGGCTTGGAGAGTTGGGTAGGCGGTGCCTCTTGGTCGCTGCGTTTGTTGTGATTGTTCGGCGGCACCTGGTCCGTACCAAAGGTAACGCGAATCCCGCTAGAACCGGAATGGTATACCTCACTCTCGGGTCGAATAATTGCTCTCAAAGTTGTGGACGGTTCCGACGGTACTGGTGTCGCTGTGTGAACAGGTTCTTCTGGGTAAGGCGCCGGGTTATCTGGCTTGATCTCCTCGTGTTCCTCAACAGGTGTCAGCGCGGGTATGGGTGGATCGTAGACGACTCGAGGCTTATCCCCGTAACCCTTCTTTTTCTCGTACTTCACGTAAAACACCTGTATAGGTTCTTTAGTAGGTTTCGGGGTCGGAGGCGGAGGTGGTGGTACCGGCGTTGGCAAAGATTCGTTCGATTCTTTGATGATAATTTCGATAATCGGCTCCGGTTCTGTTGGATAATAGTTTAACGGGCCCTCTTCGTAGAGATCGTCGCTCTTGGAGCTCGCCAGAGGATTGTAGAGCGGATCTCTCTGAGAATATTGAACGATCGGTTCCATCTGTACCGCATAAGGCGGCGGTCTGGCTCCTCGTCTCGGATAAAACGCAACCTGTTGTCTCTTATCGCGGTTTTTCGAGGACTCATCTTTGGCAACGGTCGCAACGACCAAGGTCGCTACCACCACGACGATCTGCATGGGGGGGGGGGGGGGACTTCCGCGTACGGTCGTAAAACGCATTGGTAGAAAGATCGGTTGCCGCGTGGGTAACCGAGTGACCCGATTAATAACGAGAAGAAACATCCTGCAAGGCCTTAAGCGGCCAAATCGATTGGTATTCTAGCGTCGCCGAATGGACAGTTACTGCTACCCTGATAAGCGATTCCCAGACACGATCGTGTTCCCGATATGGCGAGGCCGAGTTACGGCACGCATCTGATATATACGATGTTTTTCGCGTGTAAATTGTTGCGAACAGTTACAGAAATCTCTTGGCCAGGTGCGTTTCACACGGTGCCGGCGAAAGAAGGAGAGAAAATTTAGGTTTTGGATTCACGGCGTGTGGGTTTCACCTCGAGAATTCGGTGACTCTCCTAAAATGGGGACTTCTTAATATTCCTCGACGAAAAAAGAAAACTACGTCTCCGACGAACGCGACGAAGTTTTATTTACGCGGTATCAATATTAAACACGAACGAATCTTGTCCCCTTTCTTACCGAGATCGTCTTGAATCACTGTTACTCGACATTTATACAATTACTGTAAAGATTAATGCGTTACGAATAATTTGCTTAACACACATAAACGGGTCGCTAATCTGATATACTTTCCCTCGCTAAGTAGCCGGAGGCGATACGCTAGCTGGTTACAAATGATAGAATCCACGTCGAACGTTTCCCGCAAACTAGGAGATGAGACACGGTTATTACGATGAAAGTATAAGCGAAGCACGTTCTCTTAAATGAACTATCTACATTATTAACGCGACACTACCGAGAAGTTTCACCGGTCGCCGGGAAGACGCTAGAACGACATCAGACTTGCGGCTTTTTCTTTTCTCGTTATAATTACCAGTTCAAGGAATCGCATGGTGTTGCGTTGATTTGTCGCTCGGACAATCCTGTGTATTTTTGATGTTGTTGCGATCGTTGGAGTCACACTACACCGACTTCACGTGGCTAACTCGATCGAGGGGTGGTTAACTCGCGGTAGGCAACATGATATCCGCAGGACCGGGCATGTACTGAACGATATTGAATGAAGCTTCGCATGGGAACTGAGGACAGATTGGGCCCAGAGGCCCGTTTCTCCCTACCCGATGCCACCACCACTGGACTCTTCAAGAAGCTCCTCTCTAATATCGAATACGGTGGGGCACCTTTCTCTGGCTAGTGGCTACGTACGCTTTGCGGCTAGCGTAAGGCAGCCGTTAAAGACGTGGCGTGCAGGACATACAGAGACGTGGTTGTTCGAGACGAAACAAAAAAAAAACAACGGAGGTTCCAGCACGAAGAGACAGACGGAGCACGGGGAAGGGGAAACGGGCGAAGTCGTTGCCGACTTTCTTTAAATCCGACTCCCGATCGAAAGGAAAGGAAGATGATTATATTAACCGAGCGTCACGTTTCCATTGACCTCCAAGGCCCATCGAAACCGAAACCCACCTTCTCCTCTAGGAGAAGGTCGTGTCCAGGACTGTTATAGCCGACAACCGAATTATTCGGTGAAAGACTTACCCGCCTCGGACATAATAACGCGGCCGATCGAGACAGTACGCGAGCGCGAGTAAGCGAACGATCGCGTCAATGCACTTATCATTACTTTCGCTAAAGCCTTACGGCGGTTCCGAGCGAATGATTTCTTGCGCACGAATCATTTCCTGCATGTCTAATGACCTTTCTTTCGCGGTGATAAGCAGATTTTTCCAATCACTCTCGCCATTTCTTGGTTAACATCTATAACTCGATAGTTATTACTGATTTAATTTACTCATTGCATTTGTACTTTGCTACCTATATCTAAGTAGCACTGTTTTTTTTATATACACATGACCTTACAAGCATGGATACCGATAATTAATTCAAGTTAATGCTCCGAGAAAATTTACCTAATTGATATTACAGTTTTCAATGTCGCTGTGTCAATATTTATCCGATGATACACCGTCAGACGACACAATCATTTCTCTTTCCCCGTAACAAAAATAGACATTTTCCACCGTGTTCGAGCGTCGTAAAAAGATCGCGTGCACTATTTTCCGTAAATCGCGTACAGTCGCTGTGAAAGGCAGAAATCTAGAATACCAGTTAAATGAGGATGGCCTGGTAAAACCCTTGATTGCAAAAGCTCACCGTGATGCAAACTTCTCATACTTGCGTAACACGCATTCTGAACTGATCTATCACGCGGCTAGACGGATTCCGTCTAACGATATCCTATGGTCTTACCGATCCTCCCTCCCCCCGGAATTCACATTTGAACTTTACAGTCCAGCTACCGGATACAAAAGAAATCGTGTACAAGCGTTTTCTCTTTCCCCGTCGAAAGTCACACCGTTCTTCGATTTTGAAATTAGAAGCTAAGTGCATTGACATTTATGAAATTCGATGGACCACCATGAGCAGTGACCCACGGAGATGAGCATTTGGCGAATATCCACGCACTGTGGAGATTCGACGTCGCTCGTCCTACTTGGGAACTTTCACTTACGTTGGCGTAAGAGGTCCAAATAACCGCTGAGAGATTCGAACACGATGGGTAAAGAATCTGGTCAAATGGTCAGTGGTTTCGAATTGTAGTACATGTTTAACCGAAAGAAAAAATACCTTCACTTTCCTAGAGATAGCTGATCTGAAGTTCCATTAAAAGAACATTACAGAGACAATGGTTGAATTTTCTCTGCCAGACAAAATCATACGATATCTCCTTTTACAAAAACTCTTAAACTACTTAGATACTACTCGGTATAATGTGCAGTTAATTGTTGAGCTTGCTACGGCCAAGGGTGGATAAACGAAATAGGTGTAAAAAGACAGTTATATTATAGCCTTTAGCAATAATTACGAAAGCAGTCTGTGAAACAAACGCTTCAGACTAGATTGCACGAATTTCAATCGCCCAGTTCTCATGAAAGTCCGAGACATAGAGCAGCAGATGATACGGTTCTCCTTCTATGGACATACAGTTTGTAGGTATATAGTTCCCCGAGAGCAGTGCGCTCATGAGCAATAACGTAACTGTTGAAGAGTGAAAGTGCCGTAAAGTGGGACACGGCGAGAATAGCATCCGATCTTATAATTAATAAATAAAGCAAGCAAACGCTTCTGATTTTCCCTGATCCTTTGTGTTGAAACGCCGGAAGATGGCCGTATTATATGACCTTGGGTAACATATATTAAGGATACCAAACATTTTGTAGGAAAAATCTCATCTGATTGAGCCAATTGTTCTTTTTATGCGATAGTCCTTCAAAGATTTCGTGTTAAGAAACCGTATCCATGAAGTTGTTGGATTTTGCAACTGGCACTTCAATGTTCTTTCCTTCGGTCTTAACTTTCCTTCGAGGCAAACATTATTGTATTGACATATGCACATAACCGCGTTATATAATTGGATAGCGTACACAGTGTTAAACAAAAAGTATCTTTAATCGACGTTATGTCTACTGCACTTTCTATTTCCATCGTAGAGAGTAGATTTTGAAATCTTGTGTGGCATGATACTTGAATAATATTATACTGGAAATATTTAATTTATAATAATATCTAATGTACGTGAACAGATGAGAAAAATTATTTATCCTGGTTTCTGTAAATTCAGAACGGAGTCGAAACCACGTGGATAGATAACTTAAATTTTCCCGGCCATTCCGTAACAACGATGGCCGCATCTGTAGAGATTCAGTGCACATGCAGAGTCTGCACCAATATTCGTCTAACGATCGACAATGTATTTTGTGTTTTAGACGTATACGGTTGGCTATTGAACTCTTATGTCGTGGTATGTAATATAAAATAAATTTTTTAGACGTCTTTCATATCGAACTGTTGCTGCTGTACTCGTTCGTAATATTTCGATGCATCCACAGATGCGTCTAATATTAATACATAATTAATGTTGACCATTTTTGTAAGTAATGATTTTGAGCAATAATAAAGAGAATTGTTTTGTCTTAGGACTTTTTTCAAGAAAAATTATGGGATAAATTGCCAGAAAGTTGGAGATTTGCTCTACACGATGTATCTCCTCGAGAGTTTGGGAAATGGCTGTCGGGAGACATCTCGTGGTGAGTGACGTTACTACACCGTTTAAACTTATCTTTTGCACATTGCATTATATTTGTTTAATAATATTGTAGCACGCAAGTATGGCCCTTATCTTTACTTGCACTTCGTCAAGTGACTAATAGTCTAAAAATAAATAGAGACCATGGAGACCCAGCAAGTATAATATCTTGCAAATTGGACAGTACAAAAAGAAATAAGGAAGAGACTAATAAAAAATTTCAAAGTACCAAATCAGAAGTACTTGATAAATCAAATTCTCAAGATAGAAAATTTACTAATTTATTCTCAAAGCATATAAAAAAGAAAAAGAGATACGAAATACAAGAATTAGCTCACGTAATTTTATTTTTTTTTTGGCATAAATGATTACGTTTTAATACATCTTGAGTGTTTATAGGTATGTGCTGACTGTGCTTATGAGTCTAACTGTAAATGTATTGTTGATATTGGGGCTGGTATGGGTCATTTGGCTCGTACCTTAGCATTTCAACATGGTTTATGTGTTACTTGCATTGAACAAGATTCTACACTGTTGCAACAAGCTAGGTAATGCCTTTACTGTTTAAAGTTAATATTGCAGTTCATATTTAATATTATATTCATTGTAGGAAATGGGATCAAGAATTATTAATGTCTGCAAAAAAGCATCTACTCCATTTCTGCGAGAAAGTCCCACAGCATTATACAGCTAAATTAGAATCATCAAATTTGGTAGAATCAGAATTAGTTGGACATTTACAAAATTTATTTCAGAATGGGTTCAACTTATGTAAAACAGATGCTAAATTTGGTCTTATAGGACTTCATTCGTGTGGAGACTTGGCTCCTTTACTGCTAAAACTTTATTCTTCCAGATGCGAAGCCAAATTTATTTGTATCGTAGGATGTTGTTACATGAAATTATCTTTAAAGTTTGTATGATTTTTATATGAATTATTTCTAACAATTTCACTATACTACGTGTACTAATTAATTTTTAGATCACAATTGAATGAATTAAATGGTTATCCACTTAGTAAATATCTCAGATCATGTAAAAATCATACATTAAGTTATACATCATTAGAAGTGGCATGTCATGCCATTGAAAAGTACTGTGATAAATTGAAGACAGGGAATTATGAAGATTTAATAGTTAAGTGAAGCAGTAGGTCTATATGTATATGCATTTGAGCATGTTGTTAAATGAATTATTTTTAGGTTCATACTTATAGAGCAGCTTTAGAAACTATTTTAATAAAGAAAAGTGAAAAATTGCGACATAGTCAATTGAGAAATGTCAAAGTAAGGAAAGGCATGACATTTCAACAGTTGAGTATTTTCCGTTATAGAACAACCATTTGAATGTTTGACAGTTACAAGTACAAAAAATACAAGTAAATATATATTAATATTTTAGGTACTGTGACGCAGCGACGTCATATTTGGATACTTACCTGCAACCAGAAGACTCTGACATCAATAGTCCAGATATTAATGCCTATTTAAATCGCTGGAAAGAAGTCATAGTATTTGGATCCTTACGGATGATGTTGGCGCCGTTAGTGGAGACGATCGTACTGCTCGATAGATTCCTGTTTCTGTCTGAAAAGAATTTATCACCGACATTAAAACCCGTTTTCGATAGTAGACTATCACCGCGAAATTTAGTATTAATATCTAAAAAGAATAATTGATCAATTTATCACCTTTAAATTACTTTTCAATGAACCACTCCTTCGAACTCGACCGATTACTACGGAAGACACTCCTGCAATCGCAGTTCCCGCGTCCACGAAACAAAGTCCCCCAGATAAGACTGTGCCTTTGATTGGACAATACGATTTAATTACAATTATTGAGAAACAGTTTATTTGAATTTCTTTTCCTGCGCACGAATGCCACGATTTTTCGAAATCTCACAAAACAACACGACACACAGCATATTCAAACCATTTCGACGCATTGTAAGTATATAGTTAATATCAAATACGCGATTCATACGGATTACACGACTAGTGGGACGCGAACCAATCACGGATTGAATCGAACGATGGAGGCGCGTGCGCGCGATTCCGCCCTAAGGATTCGTCGGTATTCGAGCGGTGGCGTCGGTAGGTAGCGCTGCAGTAGCCGGCTACCTCGCCAGAGGCAGAGACGTTCCTCTCCAGCAACATCGAGATCCAGTTTCCCTTAAGCCGCTCTAGCGCGTTTGTCTGTTCTCGTCGCGTTCGCGTCGTGTCCTACCGATTATTTTCTCCTTCCTCCCCCCCTCCCCCGCCCGCGCACGAGATCGTCGACACGGTAGAGAGCCGCGCGGTATACACACGGACGTGTCGTTATAGCACCGAGTGTCCCGCTTTAAAAAGTAATTCGCCCGGTGCCGAAACACCCAGGATGGCGTTCAACGGAGACGGACCACACTCCAAAAGGCAGCGACTCGAGGAATCCGGTCACAGGGTGAGTAGTATACACGCGTCATATCCTGATAGTAAGCGGTGCGTGTTTGGTTCTCGATTGAACGACCAGCGTTCCGGGTTCGATGTGTATATTTTTTTTCTTGTCGGCGCCGCCGTTGTCGTTTTTCTCTATCCCCCCCACTCCCCTCTTGTTACTCCGAAACGCGTACGTTGGCTCGTACGCGGGTGCTAGTTGAGAACGCGTGCGTTTCGTAGTGTCGCGCGAGAAGATTTACAATCCGTGAGGCGGCCGCCGCGATAGCGCGGAGGGGGGAAAGTCGCCATTTATCCGGTCGCTTTTACCCGTATCACCGCCGCCACCGCGTCGAAACAATGGGCGATGCGCGCGCTCTCGTAGGAGAGAGAATGTCTCGTGTCCGCCGCGCGACCGTATCTCGTATAATACGAAACGCACGAACCGCCTAAAGCTCTCTTCCGATATCGTGGCCCGTGTTTCGGCAGCAACCTGTTATCTCGGGTACGCCGTGTGTGTGCCGCCCATCGTGTTTCATCGACGATTCGGAATCGTCGACGACGCAGTCGCCACCGTCGTTCCGTTGAAAAGGCCCCGTTCCATCGTCGTTATTGGCGACGGCCGTGCGCCGAGGATGCACGTTCAAAACAAACCCCCGTCGGCGAACCGGGGTCGATAATTTCCATCGCGTTATCACGCGAGACGAGGCGTTGTCGCGATGCTCGCTGTCTCCGCGGATTATCATCGGGACCAGTTCGACGTTTTTATATATCGTGACCCACGAATTTATTCGGAAAGAAAGACCACGGCCAGATAATGTAGCAGTCCACCCGTGTTCCCGTAAACGCGTTCTATAGACGCTAAGAAGTCTTCGGCCGCCGGCTCTCCTATGCTCTTATCAAAACTCCGTTTCTTCGGAGGGATGTTTTCGTGCTGAAATCGATCCCTGGTCATTCTGTTAAACTCACGTTAACCGAATGTATCCGTCCAGGGTTTCGAAGGTACGAGAGACCATAACGATACTTGTATGTCGATATATTTGTTTGTTTTTTTTTCTGTTGTAAAACGCAAATTTATTATTCTTTTTTATTGCGACACGATGTTTCGATGCACTTCGAAGCATTTCTTCTTTTGTTTTCGCTCCGAAGTGTACACGTGCTTTTTGTGACAGTATACAATAGATATGAAACGTTTTATTTTCTGTATTACGAGGACATGCTTTGCGATCGCATATAGCGGTGGCCATGGGAAAGTTTAAACGATAAACGTGTTCTCAAAAAGAGGTATAATTTGACGGAGTAGAAGAAAATTTTGGAGTGACAACCAATTAATTGTACAGTTCAGTAAACTTATGCGTTTAAACGTAGCTTGTTTTTGTTGTATTTTTAACATAGATGTGTCGAGGATAATTTCCGGTGTTGTTACGGAAGAATCTTTAAATTTATTTCCGCTTTCATTGTATTTTCTATTAGTAAACGAATATCTCTCGCAGAAAATAAATTAACTCCGGAAAGATTATATCACCATCTCAGCGAGAATGGTAATTACAGTCTAATGCAAAGTCATTAACGTGTAGAAATCTGAATATTACATATTTTTTGTTTGTCCACCACTATATTGCACGACGTAGCCGACGTAATGATCGCTAATGTGTGATATATAGGAGGAAAATGTAAATTGAATTACATTATTAGAGTCATTCATGAGAAACGCAGTCAACAGATTATAAGAAAGTAGTATGGGAATATACTACCCGCATTTATAAATAACAAGTACGAATTGCGTTCGATCAGACGTCACTTGCGACGCTTTTTCTATACGCTCTCGCAACTTCTGTTAAGTCTTCTGCAACAATGCCGTAATCGTGCGAATAATCTACGCATTGTCATCGTAAACAATTCGCGAAATCAATTCTGTAGTAAAAGTTTAGCACGACAGCGAAGAAAGGTCATTGTCGCGTCGACTACTCGGTGACCTTCGTTCTACGGTTGCTAGCACTGCATGTGTTGCTGAGAACACATGCCACAGATGATGTAACAGTAGGCGTAAGGTGTTACATATGCATGTATGCCAATCATATTTTCATACGATCTACGTCGAAGCACCTTGATCGGGATATTGACCCTCAGTCGCTGTTTTTTTTTCTCCCTCCTCCGAAAGTAATCCTCCGTTCTTTGTGTACACTCTGCCTCGGTTCTCGTCGACAGATCTCTGGCTTGGTTACGGAGAAAGTGATCTCGAAGGGGTATACAAACAGTTAATGACACTTTCATTGAGACTTTTATGACAGGGTGATTCAGAATTTTCTGCTGCTGTTTACTATTACCGCTGTAAACTTGTTTCAGTATTATACTATGGCAGCCTATTTCTTTTATCACCATAAAAAGGCTATGCTTGTTACAATAGGGTAGTGTATTGTAACCAGATTGCGAATTTTTATGAAGTCGACGGGGGACGATATTGTGTCCTCGTAAAACCATTAAGTTGTAAAGGTACTACTGTTTCGTTTATGTAATACTATACGTTGGACTACAATACTTAAAAACAGTATTATATTAATATTACTCAGAGTTAGGCTTTCTTTATTTTATAATATCGTGAAATATATAATATCGTGTCCCAGATGGAAGTTAGGCATCTTTTATTCGTTATTCGAAAACTCTTTATTTGGATAATGAATATCTCCGATATTACTGTAGAAGTATAGTATGATAAATTACCACACAAACACAGAATCCTGACCAGTGAGTACGGTTACTATGGGTGCTTGTGTACAAGCTCTCAGTGCTCCGATTTCGGAACAGCTGTGCTCCATTTGCGGGAAATCAATGCGTATGAGGCAGTATGAGTTGAACGGTACGCAGAAACTTGTAGGTACGTAGTCTCTATGACTGAGGCAACAGTAGTTATCGGTAATGATATAGGTCAGTATTAAAAATATGTACATGTCGACACGTTTGAGTGTATACATATAACCAGTCGCAATGGTTCGAGTGCAAACGCATAAAAGTCACACCAGACGGTTAACGAGGAAACGATTCCATTTATGTTACGCCGAGTTAGAGAGGTTTTTTGCCCGGTTCGAATCGCCATAATGTTCTCGTGTCGACTCCCTGTTAATGTTAATTAAGTGACGACGATCGGGGATAAGTCTCGCGTACTTTGAATATCAATGCTTCGCGTCCACTCTTTGCCGCCGTTGGTATCTTTCGCTGCGTCGCATAATGCATACGGAATGCCACGCGATTTCTCAGAGAGACGACTCGGTACCGTGTCGACGTTTCCACCAATGGCGGTCCAGAAATATCGATTCCTCCGGCATTTTCGAACACAAATATCGCCCGTTCGTTTGATAATCCAGCAGGCTCGAGAGATCAAAGCGCGCGTCAGTGTTTTCACGGGGTATGAAACATTCAACGAGGAATGCAGACGAAAAAATAAAAGATTATGTTGGTCGGCCGCGTTTTCTGGCGATTAAAGTCCTCTTGGGCTCGATTCGCGTAGGCTTATCTAGAACCGCGTATCTTTCGATGAGATTCAAACGACCTCGAGGATCTCGAGTAATCGTGGTTGAGAAGAAAATGGAAACTTGACGGAACAGTTTAAGGTACGGGCGGGTCGGTTCGGGAGTGTTGGATCCATCATTCATTCTCGTCAATCGTGTCCCAGATGGAAATAGGATTCGTTAATCTCTTGTCGCTCATCGTGTGATCCGGAAGACCCTTTCCCATTAATCACATCGTTCGAACGTTTCTTCCCGGGCGTGGGACTCTTGGTGTATTTTACACATTGATCGCAGTCGTTTCAAGTCGAAGCCAATCCGGTCAGAATGGTTCGAATCGAATCGCTTAAAAACCTGTAGGTACACTGACGTAGCAAACTTGGCTTCCGTTAGAGGAAAAAGTAGCGTAGTGGAAGGGCCTCCTACCTGTTGGTAAAATTATTTGAAGTATTGAAATAAATGGTAAGTTAATTTGGTGTAAATTTCAATGAACCCCCGAGACTAAATTATTGGAGGCCCTTCCCCTAAGCTGCTGTTTCTCCTAGCAGAAGCCGAATTTTCTCGTGAGGGTACCTGTAGATCTAAATCAAATACACGTTTCTTTCAAAACAGAAACATTTCGACAAACACGATTTTGGTGAATCTTTGTAAACGGAGCCGATCAGCAAAGAATATGTTACTATAATCGTGTCGTTCGCAAATATATCGCATCAGCACCATTCCCAATGGCGGTACATTGCTCTAGACTAATTGGACCCCTATGATTCGTTACTTTTCGAGACAAGATGTGGTCCAAGTCGCTGGTGTCACCGCTCGCGGTCTGGATAGAAATCTGTTTGAACTTTGCCAACGCCCGAAGTCAGGCTGTCTCTCAAAGTTAGCGACGCTGTCGGTTTGCTTCCCGGTGTGTCATAGCCGACCAGAAATATCTGCACCCTTGGTGTATCATCGCAACGTAACGCTCTCACGTGGCTCCCTCGCCGGAATGCCTCGCGGATAGTAACTCGTGTCACCTGTGATGATATGTGCCCGTTATAAAAAGATCGATACACACTGTGGGCCGAGTGAATACTTCGAAAATCGTACGCGGTGTATGAAATTCATGAATGTCGAGACTAAGCATTTTATAGGTTGGCAGTCCGCTGCTATGGACGGATATCGCGTAAATGTTATTAGTAGACTGTGGATTTTATGAATTTATAGCTTATAAATACAATAAAAAATTAAACTTTCCTCGGATCCAACGAGGTCTCTATTTTATTCTGAACCTAATAAGATACTTAAGAGGGAAAATAAATTTCTACGATTACTCCTGTCTTTATAAATTACTTTAGAAACTTTCATTTTGCATAAACATCCGCAGTCTAATTATTAGCCATTGATAGTTGATGATATATCCTGCACGAGCTTCGACAGGCTTGTATCGTGATGTATTTTCAGAATTATCGTATCGTTTTTCCAGGTTCTTGTGAGGTGATGTTAGTGTGAATCAAGTGCTTTCTGTATTCGGTGGTTATTAATCTTT